CATGAAAAGATCATAAATAAAAAGATAAATTAAAAGATAGAATGATGCAAATAAATAAAATAAATATGATAAAAATGTAGGTGATTCATTCCTTTGACTCGTTTAGTGTTCTAAAAGCTAATCAATATTCCATTACATTTCCATGCATAATAACGTATTACACGTCATGCAGTAACGCCCCTCTGCCGGCCCTGGGACCCATGCCCATAATATAATATAATTCTCATAATAATAAATAAAAAGTTTACATTAAAAGAACTCTAATTTATTTTCGAAACACTCATCCAGCTTTCATTTAAAATCAAATGCAATGCTCTTAGAAAATACGAGCAGTAGTTACAGCGTCTTGAAATCATTTGCTGTGACACATACCATTTGTTGTCCCTTTATTAAGCCCCTATACTGAGCAGACTTTACTTTTGTACACTCTTGAGGCTTTCGTGGAACACTATTTGTACCTGTCCTGCCGCTTACCTCATGTGAAATTTCCTCTACTCAAAAGCCTCTTCGGACCAAAGTCTACACACGCTCCATGGTACCGGTACGTACGTGCTTATAAAGACAATTCAGTGCCTTCGAATCGATCAAAAAGTTGTGCCTCTCTCCTGCCCCATTGTGCGATGGAAGCGGCGGGACTCACATATAGTACAACAGTTGTTTGTACGCTTGCAGCCCGAAACACACACACACAGACACACACAACAAGAGCAGAACAACTGGGAAACACGAGCAACTTTTCCATAAGCTGCAACTTTTTCCTTTTACTTCTTTTTATTGTCTTTTCAACTGTTTTTCTCTCTGTGTGTGTCTCACACTGCGCTACTTTTCAGCGGGTTTTCCAAAGAGCAGTGGAAAGCGGCAGCGGGGAAGTATAAATAGGGTAGATCCCCATTATATTTAATTTGCCTGGCATACGCTTTGTCAATATCGCACTTTCGTCTACCCCGCTCGTTTGCCCCGCTCTACTGCCCGCTTAGCGCTTCCCTCTCTTTTAGACTGAAAATACCCGAATTCCAACATGCCCCAAAGCGTTGCCAACTTCCTGTGCACGCGCAACATTCAGAGGGACAGACACAGACATACAGGCAAACAGCCACCGACTCGACTGACAGACTGGCAGACTGACAGACTGACAGACCCACAGACAAAAGGATGCATGCGAAAGTTGTGTTGTTGACATTGTTCAGTCATTTTTCAGCAAATTAGTCATGAAATTGTGCATTTCTATTTGTTGCACCCAAAAACAATTCGTATATAAAAATGTATTTTATTTACAGTGAAGGCTGTGGTGGAGGGACAGTAATATTTACTGTTGGCTAAAGATTGAAATGGTTATGGATGTATTTGAGATGGAGGAAGAGTTCTAACTATTTTTTTTATTTTATTTTATTTGTATTTATTTTATTTTTATTTATTTTATTTTTATTTATTTTATTTTTATTTATTTTATTTTATTTTTCCGCATCGTGTTACAGAAACTGATGGATACAGAGACTCTACAGTTGTGGATATACAATCCCAATATCTCATAAAATTATCGAGAAAATACCACCACCATACTGTTTTTGGCTTATAATTATTCCATGATTGTTATGCCCCCCAACTAATAAATTAAGCCATTATTAATATAGAAAAATGTTCGCAAAAATTCCAAAAAGTTTAATGAAAAGCGAACAAGCGGGGGAAAGCGGAAAAGCAAACTAATTTCAAACACACAAATCAATAAATTAAGGAAGCAATGGAAAGAGCAGGAAAGAGGATGATGGCGAGTGAAGCAGGGGGGGAGGGAGGAGAGCAGCGCCAATATTTCGGCAAACAATTAAGGAGCGGAAGACAAAGGAAAAACTAAGATAGAAAGAGGAAGGAAATGGCGCTCCCTGCCCCCACCCCCACATTGCTGCTTCGTTAGTTTTGGGAATACTCGAATGTTGTTCTTCATTTTGGGAAATTCTCGCCACCCCCCCACCACCCTCGAGCAAAACGTAAAGCGCGATAAAGCTTTTGTGTCCTTTGGCCATCTCATATTCGTGTTTCAGTTACAGCATCAAGTGCGCTTCTCTTTCTCTCATTTTGATGCCCAAAATGCGCTTCTCTTTCTCCTTTCTTTTTTGATGACCAAAATGCTCTACTATTTCTCCTTTGGCATCTCTCTCTGTCTGTCCTTTTTTGATGACCAAAATGCTCTCTTCGCTCTTTATTTTTTTTTTTTTTTGGCTGACCAAAAAGGTAGCGAAGCAAAAAGCCAAAATGAAACGATGTTATGAATATGAATGAGAACGAGAATGAGAGGACAGTGGAACAGTGGGGGCTCCCTGCTATTTTCTGTATACCATTCCCATTCCCATTGCAATTACCATAGGTAGGAAAAAGAGTTGAAAATTATATATGTCATGGGTGTACGAGTCATGGGCGGGGGCAGGGCGACGAGCTTGCCAAAAAGAAGATATAGTTACAGTTACAGTCAGTGCAAAGAGTTAGCAAAACATCGGGGCCAACACACAGGCACGTATTTAATTCAATGCTTGACTCTTTTTGTCCTCTCTCCCTCGTACCCTCCTCTATGCCAGAACATGCCTCAATTGGTGGCCATTAAAATGCATAAATGTGGAATCGTTTTTGTTCGCTGTCCTCTGAGATGATGATGCAGTCATAACTAAATACTTCAGGACTTTGCGTGGCATTGCTTTGGATTCGCATTCGCAATTCGCATTGGAGTTCCTTTTTGGAGTTGCCATTTGAATTACGGTGAATGGTTTTTGGATGCGTTGCCGTTGCCTGCCTGCCTGCCATATTTACATGCTGCACATGTGGCAGTTGCAGCAGTTCCCTCCCTGGCACTTTTTTGTGAAAGAGTATTATAGCCAGTGAATGGCTGGCATCGAAAGCAAGCTGTGGCTGGCTGAGTTTGCTTCAGAATTGTGGGCAAGGATTGTCGCAAACTGATGGAACTGATAAAAGTGAGTTTGGAATGATATTTTTGGGGAGAGTTTCGAAAAGGATTCTCTAGAAAATTCTGATATTCCGATGGAATATTTTAAGTGAAATTAATTTTACATGTCGCTTGTTTCCACTTTAAGTTTAGAGTCACAGGAGCAGACTCTCCTTACGAATATATATGCTTCCCCGAGCAGGATTACATTGTAACACCCTGATATATCTGATTCCACTTAAATCCCCCCATCTTTGCTTTTTCCTACCATAAAAATCCCTCAAAATCTTTGCACTCTTCGGGGCTCAAGCGCGAACCTTTCCCAACACAGAATCCTCATCCCGTTGCCGCATTAAAAATTTATAATTGCAAGACAACAGCCAGACAGAGAGACAGACAGAGAGACAGCCAGCCAGACAGTCGGACAGTCAAACTGATGGCGATGGCGATGGCAATGTCTGGCGATGCGTCAGGCCCCATAACAATGTAAAAGTATTCAGTGTGAAGTGCCCCCCAAAGCTCCTACCGAAGGTGTAGCGGGGTAGTTGATGGCAGGGCAGCTACAGTTGCACTGCAAAATTTCTTTCTTTCTTTCTTTTTTTTTTGTTGCTGCAGGTTTGCTGCAGGACTTTGTTTTTTTTTTGTGCAGTTTTTGCATTTACATTTTTACCGAAAAACCTTTTGAAAGGTTGCAGAGAGTCTGGATGGACGGCTTAGCGAGTGTTGAATGAAATGTTTCGCTGTCTTAAAGTCACGTCATATGGGGGATGGAGATGGAATTGTAGTAGGGATGCCTAGGGGGCTGAGGCGGGCGGTAATGAGACAGCTGCGCAGCAACAGCAACGTCCCGTACTGTTCGTACTGTTAATGTTGTTAGGCTTTAGCATAAACCAGCATCTTCTTTTCAGGCTAATGAGAAATCTGTCTCAGTTTTCCAGGGCCCACACAGCCTCCCTCTCTCTCTCTTGGAGTTTCTGTGGCGTAATAAGAGGCGGGACAAACAGCACCAGCAGCAGCGGGTACAAAAATAATAAGTAGAGGCATGAAACATTGAAGGATTTTAATTAAATAGGCTGACATGACAGTACAGCTCCTCCATATGCGGCACACGCTTACAAGCTGGTAACTCGGCGAAATGTGAGGGGAGGGAGTATCCATAGAATTTATGCGCTAACTTCGTGGCATGAAAGTAAGACTCGAGTGGGGATGATTGTTGCCTTGTGTCTTAATTTCAAGGATGCATAATGTCATAATGGCACCCGCCATTCAAATTAAAGAATTCAACAAAAGAATTTCTTTGGGGTTAAGACATTTATTTGCCTCTAATAAAACCCCATTAAAAGCACATAAAAAATGGGTTTACGTTTCATCATGGGGAAAACCAATCAAACTCGTTTTGTAAACCAGTAAAAAACAAAAAAGAAACCCATTAAAATGTTTAACCCCCCCACCACCTCCAATCATTACAAGCTTTAAGATCTGTTGAGCACAGCCAGACAGACTGCTTTCGAATCGCCAGAGTTACGAATAGTGTGGGCTGACCTTTTGCCGTGATGGTGTCAGCGCATGCCAAAAAGGCCAGTCTGTACCGAGTCTGTACTGTACCCAAATATAAAGGTCACACACTAGGTGGCATGGCATGGCAGCTTCGTGTGGCCGACTCTGAGCATGCGCAGTCGCATAAAAAGGGGTCAAACCGGCGAATATCATGGATATTACATGGTTGGATATTCAAAACACTTTCTCCAGATGTCACGCCCCTCGAGGCACAGTCTGTAGTCTGGTGGGGCTGTCGCGTCAATCAATCAAGCATGATATGGATATGGATGTGAATATGGATAGGTATTTATTTAGCACACTCTTTAGCGTCTGGATGGGGCTTAAGGTGAGAACAAGTTTATAGATTATAGAAAAATAAATTCACATATATATATATTATATATTCGTTACGAGCGAGTGTATATTCACACATTCAAGCGGGTCTTAAACGGGCGCGTGATATCATCTGCTGAGCGGTTCTTAGCGTGTTTTTGTATATTTTCTATATGTTCTTCTCTATTATTTCTCTTACCTGTTAAGATGGCTGCGAGTAGTACAAAAACGATCCGTGACATGATGATGTTTATTTGTTTGTTGTTGGGGTGGGGTTTTGAGAGACTTCCTTTGGCTTCCTTCCTTCCTTCCTTCCGTTATTTGCGCTGTAATCCCAGGTTTATTTTCTCTTTACTTTTCTTCTTTCGTTTTGCCTCCTTTTTTTTTGTGAGGTTCCGTTACAAAAAAGGCTTTTGGTTTGTTTTTTTTTTGTATTTTTTTTTTTTTTGGGAGAGAAAGGGAGAGATTTTTGTTGGTTGTTGTTACTGCATTTTGCTTTAGCTTTTTTCATGCATAAAATGTGTCGTTTTAGTGGCGGTATGTGCCGGGGTAGGGGCGTGGGGGCGTGTTTTGGGGGCTGAGTGTACTTCTCTCTGGCACTTTACGGCCGCCTCCTAAGGCTCCGCTGTACTATATGGATTTATTTTATACATATGTGTGTGTTGGTGTGTGTGTGTGTTTGCGTATATGTAAATATACTTTTAGCGCGCACTGTCAACACAGAAACAAACGGCTGGACTTTGGTTTATTGAACTTTTGTTTCTTTTGACAAAAATTTGTTGTAGGCTTTTGTTGGAACACACACACACACACAGTGAGAGTCAAAAGTACACACACGCTGAATGGATCGCAGCAAGAATGGGGGCTTATGGCTAAGATGCGGGTGTCCGATTAGCTTTAGGGCCCAAAAAATCACACACACTCAAGATTACAGTAAACACACACACAGCACAGCAGTACAGTGATTGCGAAAAGTAAAATCTAGTAAAGTACGAGACAGAAGTACACGACGCTCCAAGTGAAAACAAACGAAAAAAAAGTGCGGGACAGTTGTCACAGTGAGGGGCAATGGCATACGCACACTCCACAGTACAGTACAGTGACTCAAAGAAGTTTAACACCTTGTACAGTGATTTAGAGCAGTTAACACACACACACACACACACCTTGTACAGTGATTGAGAGTAAGAAACGCACACGGCTGATTGCGGCTGCTGCTACAGTGATGGCTAGAATTACACGCACACGACTTGAATCGACTCACGTTCGCCTCACTCACCGTTTGAGTGGCGGCAGCGGCAACAAACGAAATGACGTTATGGATTTGATGACGACGAAAAACGCCTTCGGCACACAAATACGAGGCACACACACAACGATGATGATTCTGATAATACAATACGCTCGTATCTAGCGGATACGAAGCGAGGGCGTACCGACGCAAACCGAACCGAACCGAACCGAACGACGTGACGATACGAGACCAGAGACTGGCAAGAGGCGCGTAAATGTGAATGTGAACGATACGGTGTACACACGGTCGCAAAAATGTGGAAGAGCCGAAGCGAACGAAACGTTGAATGCAACAGTTAACCGTTGAATGTGACGCTGCCTCAGAATGAAGTTGCCAAACGACGACGACGGCCATGGAAGCCCCGGCTTACACACACTTAGCCACACAGCCACACACAGATACGAATGTGTAGCAACATCGTATAGCAAACGCTGCTGCTGCTGCTGCTGCTGCCTGCCTGCCCTGCCTGCGCTTGTATGCGTTTTTACATATGCAGTCGACGCCGACTGCGCTGCATTGGCAACATTTGTCTAGGCGGCCGCTTGGCAACATGCGCACTAAGCTAGCAACATTTTGGTGTAGCTCGGGCAACATGCTGCTGTGCGAGTGGGCATGTTGCCAAGCGATTGTTCTGCTTAGGCAAATCTTTATGTGGTGCATACCCTGTAATTTGGAGAGGATTTGGTGAGAGCAGAAATAGGGTTCGACTGTAATTTTAATCTAGGGATCTATTAGAGTTGGAATAACTAAATTCGGGCTTATTTCAGACAGTAATATTATCCATCTTTCCACAATACTTTTGCCCGATTGAATTGTTACTAAAGGCAGGACCAAAATGAACTTATAGATTAACAAATTTTAGCAGAAAACCTTATTTAAATATAAATAACATTAAACTATAAATGAATGGCTGGAACTAAAATTAGAAATTTTATTAAAGGAAATATTAAATTCTGTAATAAGTTTGTGTCCCGAAAATTACAAAAATAAACCGAGTATCACAGAAATCGGAGAACAGGATAAATAAAATACCTATGTTAAATGTTGATTTTTCCAGCATTGCCAGTGTACTTTCCCTTCGAAATTCCCTGCATTCCCCGTGCTCTAAATGCCAGAGGTTGCATTGGCATTATATCTGATCGAGGGGTATCAGCATAGTCGAGCGCCGTGCCGTTCCGTTCCGTTCTTGATTTGCTCTTCTGTTTTGCTGTTGCTGTAAGTTTGATTTGAATTTGTTGGTCTCTGGTGTATTGCAGATGTAGTTGTACTTCTATTTGTTGTTGATGTTGTTGTTGATGTTGTTGTTCCTATTATTGTTGCCCTGTCGTTTTGGCCAAGTTTGCTTTCGGCCTGTCGCCAAAGCTGCTGCCTCTGCCTGCTGCCTGCTGCCGGATTTCTGTCTATTTGTCGTTTGATAATCTCTCCCCATCTCGTTCTGCCTTGTGCCTTTTGTTTGCCTGCTGCCGCTGCTGCCACTGCTGCTGCTGCTGCTGTATGTGCAACGGGCACACAGTCGTCACAGAGGGGCAGAGTGGATGGGCCGGAGTGAGGGTATGGGAGTAAATCTTTGGCACAGTGGCTCCTCGTTCTGCTGGCTGGTTCCGGGTTTTGCTTGCCGCAAATATTGAAAGCCGGGCCGCCCGCTATTTGCCATTGTCCCAGATCTGAATGGAGAGCGGACAGCAGACAGGAGGTACGACCTGACCCACAATGATTAGAATGATGTAAATTTAATGTCCACTATCGAAACGTAACGAGTCGAATCGATTTATGTCGAAAAACAATACAGTGGGACAGTTGCTTGAAAACAGGAAATTGAATATTGAATATTTATGAAACGAGAGAAAGAGAGATAAGAAATATAATAGAAATTTATTAAATCGATTACTTTGCTGTCAGACAGTCACTGAAGACGAAAACCTGCAATGGGCCAAGGGTTATTTAGTGATCAAAATATGAGAGAAATTTTAAGATTTAATCAAGTGATTTTTGGGATATTTTTTAGACTTTTTTGAGTAATGTTGCCGCCAGTCTATTGAAAAGATACTGGCAGATATTTGATCCAGAAATGGCACTCAATTTTGAACGATTTATGGCTAAAATTTCAAGAAAAAAACTCTGTGAATTCTAGGCTCAAAAAGTTGCGCATCTATCTATGGATCTTGTTTCATGGGTAGTTTTATTTTCCAGAATTTTTAAGCTTCTAGGCCATAGACAATCTGTTCATAAAACATTTGTCTTTAGTTATTGATAGTTCTCTTGGCCCTAGGGTAGCTTTTATTGTGCCCCAAAAACCTGCCAAGATATAAAACTTCTTTGGTATTATCATAATACATAGCACCCATCCAAGGGGCATTTAAAGCACACTGAAGCCACTCGATGATCCTGGGATTCATTGGCCTTTAATTTATTTACTTCTGCACTATTACACTCGCAAACCACACACCCCATACACCCCCCATGTAGCCCATACCAGACGCCATGCCTGCCCTATAGTCTCTTAGCCCCTCGTATCGTCTGTGTTCAGGCAGCAAATAGTATTATCAAACATTTTAAATTTAATCAAAGCACACATTCAATAAGCTTTGGGCCAACATTTTGTGTACGCCACTCCTCGCATGGAGGGACAGGTACCAGGCAGGCAGGGCAAAATGCATCGAAATCAAAAATACTCTAACTAATGGGCACTTTCGAGAAGGGTTTGAACATATTTAAAATTTAAATGAGAAATTAAAATAAAGGAGGCATAATTTAAAATTGTATTTAATTAAAATTGAATTTATTATTTAATTTTTACATAAAATATATTTATTTTAAATATTAAAAAAAATCAAATGAGTGCTAACTTATTATTTCTTTTTACAACTTCCACTCTCGGAGCAAATCGATTGTACATTTTTAAGTCTAAGTATAAATATTTATATATTAGTGTGTGTTTTCTCCAATAAAACTCCTAGATGGTTCCATTATTTAATATGTTCTCGAATATTTCTATGTTAAAATTTAGCTACAATAAATTTGAACAGTACCATAAAAATCTGTTTTTTAACACAAAACATTTGTTTCTCGCTTCAAACATGAACTGCCAAAGAGTTTTCCTTATCAACAAATGTTTCTTCTTCTTTATCGTTTTATCAGCAGCTTTTTTGTTTGAATAGTTTTATAATGACGTGACCGATAGCACCGCACCGCACCGACCGGTAAATCCGCATATTTGGTCTTTTAGGGTTTTCCTCAAGCAAAAGTGATTCATTTTTTCATTCATTTGCTGTTTATTAATTAACAGGCAATCAGGGAACTATTTCAAACCATCTGGAAAAAGGGTCGGCAGAACCGACACGAAGTTTTTCTTTTGAAACACCTTTTGAAAGTTTTCTTCAGGGCATTTCCTTAGTCATTCTACATCCACTTTCGCCCCGTGCTCATTGCACAACTCCTTTCGTTCTCGTTTCCTTCCTTTTTCAATTTCCTTTTTTTTTTTTTTTACCTCAGCAATTTTCCATGTTTTTCCTCACCCTCACCCTCTATTCCTTTTCCTTGAGTTGTGCATTTTGCATGCAATAAAAATATCGCATGCAATAAAGTATGTGTGTTCAGTGTGCAACGCTCTGGAAATTGTAAATTCCATGTTATATGTGTGACCAATGGGTGTGGATGTGGGTGGAGGGGAGGATGGGTAGTTTGATTGAGGGGGATTGCATCAGTGGGGGTACTCCCCGTTGTTGGTGAGAGCGCAGACAGCATGTGTTTATTGCCAGCACAAAATGATGATTACACGTAATGTGTAATGGTCAGAAGGGGGGGGGAGGAGGAATGAGAATCCAAAGAGTGAAGGGTAGAACGTACGGGGCCCAGCGGCAGGAAGTTCTCCGGACCCAGAGTGCGGCGTGTAAAGCCCCGGAAAAGCAGCCGGAATAGCATCCAAGCAGACGGCACAAAAACAAACAGGCGTCTCACTGCCTGCCTGACTGCCTCTTGCCTCCCTGCCTTTTGCCACTTACACATCCCCTGTCGCCTGCCACTGCTACTGGCACATCTCCTTGGTTTTTGCCATTTTCCTGCCACTCCTCTTAGCAGCAGCTTTTCTTCTTGCAACTCTATTTTCCATATGTGTTAACAGCAGCATCAACAGCATTGCATCCACACAGCAGGACTGGGGCTGGGGCTGGGCCTGGGGCTGATGCTGGGGCAGGCAACAAACTAAGACAATTTTGCGGTTTCCATTCAATTTTTCGGCTTGCATTTCCATTTTGCAGTTCTTAAATTTTACCAAAGGGAGGGAGAACCTTCAAGGGGCTTCAGCGGGCCATATTTTTCACATATATTTTTTTGGGAAATTAAAACCATAAGGTTTGGGTGTTTTATACAGTTAGCACTCTCTGGTGTACAACTTGTGTATATTTTTGTGGAAAAAATATTAATTTTAAAGAGAGCATTTGGGGGAACGACAAAGCTCTCTATTGGGCTGTTCTACGGTTGGAATTTTCTCGGATAAGAATAAGAATTCCCTAAAAGAATTTAGAATAAAATTTAAATTAAAAAAAAATAAATAAAATAAACTAAAATAAAGAATAAAGATTCTACCATATCCAAAAAACTATGTCCTGTCTGCCCAGAGGAGTCCACTCGCTGTACAACGATTCTGAGCAACAAAATTTCAATGTAGAAAATTCTTCTGCTGCTGCCTGTAAAACTTATTTGCCTGCTTAAACTTTAAACATGCGATACTCAGACAATCTCCCACGATGTCAAACCGCCAGTTAAACTCATTATAATATCATTGCAAGTCATTTCCCTGACATTTTTAACCCAAATGAAAACCCTGAAAACAAACAGGAAAAACAGCAACAACAAAAACAAAATCGAGCAAAGCAACTTAATGAAACGAGAATCGCATAGAAAGTCCAGAGATTCCATAGAGTGTGAGGATTGTTTTAGAAAGGGAGAGGGGTGGCGGGGGGTAGTGTGTGGGTGTGTGTGTGTGTGTGTGTGTGGGTTCTGTGCTGATATGTAAAGTATGTGAAGAGCCAAAGAGCCAGGGGGAGCTTTGCCATATAAAGTTACCCAAAAAACATGTAAATTAAGCAGCAGGTGAATGGTGAGGGAAACGCAGAGAGTGGGGAGTATGGCAGAGTGTGTGAGAGAGAGAGTGGTAGTGCGAGAGAGGGGTACACTGCAGAGCGAGAGGAAAGGTACTGCTGCAGAGAATAGAGGGACGGAGCCAGAGTGCACGGATGAGCGAGTAAGACCTTGCATTACAATTGAGTTACATTTCAGTTTTCTGGTTTGCTGTTGTTGTTGTGCCCCCATTATTGCTA